AATAATGGAATCCGCCAACACATCAACAGCCTAAGTGCGGTGTCACACTATGCGTTTCTAACGCTGCGGCAAGAAGGGATAAGTTTTGATCGGACGAACTGTACTTGTCACACTATCCCATCGGTATCCGTTTTAACGGGATTTTGCCTCAGTCGAATTTCGGTTTCGGGATGGGGCCGAGTCGACTGCCCTCCGTGGAAACGTGCCTGGTATATCTCGCGCTCTAAGATCGGTGGTTGATGAGGAAGTATCTTAGGGCGTGAGGGCCTACCTTAACTGGTCGGCCAAGTGGAAGGCGAACCACAATAAAAATCCCTCCAAGTCACGGTGGAACAGCATAGGCCAAGGACTGCGTGATTAGGGGAGAGCCTAATCGATACTATGCGAACTCCAGGGATGTGGCGACCCCACGGCTTAACTAGCCCGACCGGGGCAAGCGGGGCTCTGCCTCGGCCGTATGGTCTATTTCCCTAGCTACTCGTGGGACCTAACATGGACACACAAAATGAATGATAGCGCCTCAAGCACATCCGAAAACATGGAAGTAGGGGACTGTAAAAGCCCCACTGACGTAGAAGAAGAACTTCTACGTTCAGACGAAGAGCTCGGCAAAGATCTGAGTGCCCTACGACTGAAGGGCGACGTGAGGATCAGGCTGAGCGGCGCTGCCAGAAAGAGGATGAAATTCCTCAAAAAAAAAGGGATGAGTGCAGACGAAGACCGCAAGAAGGCCCTTGAGCCAATCAAAGAAAGGGCTAAAACCTCTGACAAGGGCGAAAAAAGAGCCCGGTCAGAAGGAAATACCCCCGAGGCTCAAGCCAAAAAAAGAGCTAGGACAAGGGATACGGGCAGAAATGCCCCGCCCACAAAAAAGGAAACGAGCAGCAGTGCTCCGCCTTCCAGAGCTCCAAAACCAACCTTCAGCCAGATAGCTGGAGGCATAAAGGTAGGAATACTACCTACAGACTTCCCTAATTGCCTTTTGTCAGTGGAGCAAATTCAAGCCACCAAAGAGGCAATTATGGATAAGATCGTGGACGAGGTAGCATCGGATTGCCCGGTCAAACCGAAGTTTCTGAGCGCCCACAACAGACCCCGCTGGCTCGCTCTAGTTTGCGAAAACATAGCCACCAAGCAGTGGCTGCAAACTGCTGTCGCCTCCATCAAGCCTTGGGAGGAAGCTTCGCTAAGGATGGTAGAGGAATCTGACATTCCTCACTCTGACGTCCTGGTTGCTCGATTCCCAAGCAGCATGGATTATTCCACTGAGAAAATCCTCAATCTCGTTCAAGGCCAAAATGAGGGCCTAAACGTCAAAAATTGGCGAGTCATCCGACGTAACGCCGAGGGCCATCTGGTCACACTAACCCTCTCTGTGGACAGTGCATCCGCAGAAAAACTCAAATCCGGAGGCTACGCGGTAAGTTACAAGTTCGGTCATACGACTATAAAACCGCAAAGCAGCCGGAGCACAACAGCTGTGGAGCAACCAAGCTCCCCAAAGAAAGGCGGCGCCGAACCAAGGGCAGGAACGTCTAAAGACTCAATGAGTCATAAAGACGAAAGTGCCCAGGTGGAGTGCGAAAAGTGAGTGCAACTCTAATGGCTCCCTCCAAGCAACCAAAGAGAAGCAACTCACCATGCATCAAATGCATCCAAATAAATCTTCAACACTCAAAAGCTGCCACTAGTGAGCTTAGAAGAAGAATGTTTGGATAAAAAATCAACGTAGGGCTACTTCAAGAGCCCTGGGTCAATGGAGGCTCTATAAAAGGCCTAAATATCAAATCATGTAAGTTAATCTACAACATTAACCATGAAAGACCAAGAGCAGCATTGCTGCTTGACAAAAATTAAAAAATTTTACCTGTTCCAGAGTTCCTCACACAAGACTTGGCAGCTGCTTTAGTAGAAGTGCCAACGGAGGGGGGCTCAAGGCATATTCTCATAGCCTCAGCCTACTTTCCAGGTGATGACAACTCAGCGCCGCCAGAGATCGTCCAACGACTCATCACGTGGTGCAGAGCGAGAAACAGACACTACATTATCGGGGCGGACGCCAACGCCCATCACCAGGTAGGATGGGGAAGCACCGATACAAACGCAAGGGGTGAGTACCTTTTTGAATATTTGAACTCTAACAACGTAGACATTATCAACAAAGGTAACAAACCCACTTTTATTAACGCCGTCAGACAAGAGGTCTTAGACGTGACTCTCGCTGACACATTTACATCTAACACAATAACCAACTGGCTTGTGTCAAATGAACCCTCCCTGTCGGACCATCAAGCAATAAGGTTCGACCTAGAGGCAGTTATAAATCACTCAGTACAGACAAGAATCCCAAAACTCACCAACTGGGTAACCTTTGTGGAGGGTCTGTGCCTGAGTCTAGATGAACTCCCTTCTGACATAAATACAATAGAAGAGCTAGAGGCATCATCTGACAATCTAACAAATGCGATAAAAAAATTCCTATGAGAACAGTTGTCCCGTAAAACAGAAGGCAGTCCACAGGGTGGAACGTGCAGCTAAGACGTCTGAAACAAGATGCCAGAAAACTGTTCAACAAGGCAAAAAACAACGGCAACTGGGCAGACTATAGAACAGCCCTAGACAAGTACAACCGTGAATTAACACGTTGGCTACCAATGCTATAGCGAGATTTCTACCCTGGTGTACCATGTGAATCACCGGTGAACAACTCGATTAGTTCATTCGTAGACCAAATGTATCACATGTGATATCGTGCATAATGATGTTTAATGGGTTTTTAAATCCCCCGGTACAGAAAAGCAGGCAAATAGAATATGACAGAGGTATCTAAATACACCAAATAATTTGTAGGTCAAATGGGCATCACCGGTGATTCATCATAGTCAAGTTATACATGAGAAATTAAAAAAGTAGTAAAATATACAGTCTAATAATATATACAGGGTGTCCCAAAAAGATACCGACAAACTTTGAGGGGTAGTAGGGGACATCAAAACAAGCATTTTTGTTTATATAAACATATGTCCGCAAATGAGCCATTTGGGCTGTAGAGCAAAAAAACTGTTTGGTACTATTCGCGATAATGAAATCACTGTTTACTTATTAATTTTGCTTTAGTAACAAAAAAATTATGGTCTAAAATAATTTTTCAAAATGTTGACCATTTACTTCAATGCAAAGATTGCACCGTCAGGTCATTGACTGAAAAGTTTAGTCTACGAAACACGTGTTCGTAATGAGGAAGATCTGTTAGCAAGGATACTGGAGAGTTTTACTCATGTAGAAGCTATTCCCGGAATATTCCAAAGGGTTCGCGAGTCAATGATTATTGATTGATGATTGTTCAATTCTGAACAATTATTGTAAACCATAATTTATTGGTTAATAGAACAAAATTAATAAGTAAACGGTGATTTAATTATTGCGAAGAATAAAAGTACCAAACAGTTTTTTTGCTCTACAGCCCAAATGGCTCATTTGCGGACATATGTTTATATAAACAAAAATGCTTGTTTTGATGTCCCTAACTACCCCTTAAAGTTTGTCGGTATCTTTTTGGGACACCCTGTATATTCAAATAAGGACATAACACAAAATAAAAACATAAAAGTATCAACTTAGTGCCTTTTTTGAAAACATTCTAGACATAGCGCAGGTGAATTTGGACACTCGTTGCAGAAAGTGGAAACTAATTTTGCCTTCTTTGCCGCTACTTTCGATGTTTTGTTAACAGCATATTCTATGTCATAACACCCAACACATCGTCTTCTCTTTTTTCGATTGTCTTTCGTTTTTTCAACTATCTGATTCAATATATGTTTGGTTTTTTTGCTGCTTCCTTTTTGATTATCTATAATATCACCAAGTAAACCTGTCACAAGTGCCTCTCTAAAATCTGCTATTTGAATTTTTTTCTGGTTTGATAGTTGGTATAAGATAAGAGCGTTAACAACGGACGTGCCCAATAAATATTCAAATGACACCTTATGGTACCATCTTATCGATCGGCGAAGAGCAGTAAAATAAGAAGCCATTTGATCTGACAAGTCTATGCCCATCTTAAACTTATTATAAAACACAATAGCTTCTGGCTTATAAATAATTTCTCCTTTACGATTTTTTCTGTTTGTATCGACCATGTTCAATGTATGCCTCGTACTAATAAACCTAACCGATCTCTTGTCTTTCCAGTTACCGATAACCTTGCCATTACTTTCTTTTCCCTTGATATCCCCTTTCTTCATTTTCTTTTCATCCAAAATTTCCCTCGGTACTCCCTTCACAAATTTTCTCAACGTACCAATGGTATGCGTTTTTCTCTCCAATAGTAGGTTTGAGAGTTCCAGGTTGTTATAATAGTTGTCTGCAACTAGAGTCCGTCCACTATCAAGATAGTCCTTCATCAAATTTAAAACAACTCTGTTGCTGGTGCGTCCTGCAGTTACCGTGTCACTTTTTCCTTTATAAACTTCTGTTTCGTAGGTGTATCCATTCTCATCGCATAGCTTGAAGATTTTAACTCCATATTTCGATGCTTTCCCTGGAATATACTGCCTAAACATCAACCGACCCCTGAATGGTACCATCGATTCATCAATGGATACTACCTCAGCAGGAACTGTGAATTGTTTATATTTTTTAGTCAATGCTTCTGTAAGAGGTTTAATTTTATACAATCGATCTGCCTTATTCACTGTTTCATTATCCGCAAAATGGAGGAACCGTAATAGGTCCTGGAATCTATTTCTTGGCATAATATGTCTCACAAAACAATGCCGATATAGAAACTTTCGTGACCAGTGGTCTGATATTTTCGGCAATTTGGACAGTCCCATAAACAGAAAAATAGCGAAAAACCTTTCCATTTCTTGAGCAGATACATCTTTCCAATTTACTTTATATCTTCTAGCATTTTTATTTGTTTCCAAGACAATCAAATCTACAATATCTGAATCAACAATGAGTCTGAAAAGATCTACAGGTCTCAAGTTAGGGGGAACATTTATTTGTCCTGAATCAATAAAAGTAAACTGCTTCAAAGACGTCCCATCCACTTCATTCCATGCTATTATGGTCGGTTGATTGACATCTCCATCCACGTCTTCATCGTTATCATCAATTTCGGATTCTTGCTCAGACTCCGTTTCTGATTCAGAGCTAGGCTCATACTCTGAGTCAGAGGCAGGAAATGGCTCCTCCTCGTCGCTTTCTAGATCTTGGTACTGACGACGATTTGGATGACCACGATTTTTACTTGTCTCTCCACTACTCTCTCCAAGTTTATTGTCGTCATGGATGCTTTGACGATCTAAATCTAGAGATAAAAAACATGCTTCAACAACCTGTTGCTTTGTGTAGATAATTTCACAAAATGGATACCTCTAGTTGTTTGCCTACTACTCTCTTCAGCTTCAGACTCAATCTCCTCATCTTTCTCATCTATATTGTAATTCTGACTACTTTTTAGGTTTGATTCTAGAGGCGAAAATAAATATTACGAACTTTTCTATTTTTTATTATTGCTTATCAAAGTTTACCTTCAGATTCCACCTCATTATACCATCGAAGTAATTTCTCTTCTTCTTTTGGATCCATATTTCACATAATAATCACAACGCACCAAAAACCAATCTAAACTACTGATAAAACGACATGCAAAAACGTGATAAAAAAATACTAAGGATCACCTATGGACCAAGTGTATCACCGGTGATCAACCGACAGAACAATCTGGAAGCAACCCGCATAACGTACTTTGTGCACCAGCGACATCTGTTTAGTGATGGATGTACTTATAACTTGAGATAAGGCTCGGTCCCTAAGAGAAATCTTTACGCATCCCCGTTAGTATAGAAGCAACTGAATCGCATGCATCACCGGTGACTCATATGGTAGCCAACGTGAAAAATCAAAAAGGAAATCGTGGAGACAATTCTGCGAGGGGATTGATGAATTAGCCCCAGCTCAACGTCTCCAAAAACTTTCAAAAAACCACTCAAACGGAATTGGTCTGCTTAAAAAGCCAAACGGAGAACACTGTACCGACCATATAGAAAGTCTAGAGGTACTACTACAAACTCACTTTCCAGGTTCGGCAATCGTTGAAACCCTGAACCAGGTCACTCCGCCTATCGAAGTGCCACAAATCCCTAACGGCAGGAGCAAAAGGCTGACAGGGAAAATCTTCACAATGAACAGAATAAAATGGGCGATCGATAGCTTCAGACCCTACAAAATTCCAGGCAAAGACGGGATTTTTCCCGCACAACTGCAAAAAGGCTACGAGTACTTAAAGGTACACCTACAAAAGCTCTTTAAGGCAAGCCTGTTCCTAGGGCACATGCCGCTATCTTGGAGGGAAGCTAATGTGATATCAGCCAGGCAAATCCACAATAAGTGCTTTACACTGCCTGGTTAAAGACATTGAAAAGTCAATCGAGTGCAAAGAGATCGCTCTCACAGCTTTCATCGACATAGAGGGTGCCTTTGACAACACCTCACATCAATCAATCGCCAGAGCATTACAAGAATGGGATGTTGAAGTTCCAATTGTAAAATGGATAGAGTCGATGCTGAAGCACCGTCACGTTACGGCTGAAATAAACGGAGCATCAGCTACCGCTACCACGGTCAGAGGGTGTCCTCAAGGGGGTGTTCTTTCTCCGCTACTATGGACACTGGTGGTAGACAACATTCTCACCAGACTGAGTAGTGCTGGATACCAGGTCATAGGTTACGCAGATGACCTAGCCATTGTAATCAAGGGCAAGCATGAAGGTATAGTAACAAGCCGAATGCAAAGTGCCCTAAACATCATTAAAAATTGGAGCGAAGGCGAAGGACTATCCCTAAACGCAAACAAAACAATCCTTGTCCCGTTCACAAGAAGAAGGAAGCTAAATTTGAAAGCCCCGACCCTTAACGGTACACAACTAACATTTTCCAACGAAGTGAAGTACTTAGGGGTCACCCTGGACCAAACCCTCACTTGGAACAAACAGTTAGAGAAAACATGCTTTCGAGCTACATCAGCCATTTGGTCATGCCGAAGACTTGTTGGCAAAACATGGGGGCTAAAGCCAAAGATGGTATTCTGGATCTACCAAACCATAATAAAGCCCATGGTCACCTACGCCTCATTGGCGTGGTGGCCCAAAACCCAACAAGTCACCGCTCAGATTAAGCTAAGAAATGTGCAAAGGCTGATATGTCTAGGAATAACGGGAGCAATGTCAACTTGCCCCACCGCAGCCCTAGAGACGCTACTCAACATGCCCCCACTTCACCTATGTGTGAAAAAGGAGGCAATAACCAGCGCTCACAGGCTATTCCAAATAGACAAGTTCAAGCCTGGCGATCTGAGGGGACATCTGAAAATCCTTGACCTGATAACACTGGAGAATGCCAGCAAACCAAGTGACCACATGATGGTCAGATTGGACTTAGAGATCCCCTTCGCAGTGGTAATAAACGACCGCCAATCATGGGAGAATAAATAACTACCACAAGCAGACAATGAATCTCTGTGGTACACAGATGGATCCAAGCTAATGGTAGGAGCTGGACTGGGCATTTCCGGCCCTAACTTCAAGCTCTCCAAGGCATTGGGTAAACATCTTACAATATTTCAAGCCGAACTGCTTGCCATAGATATATGTGCACAAGAGTGTCTTAACCAAAGCCTCAAAAGAAAACACATCTTCATACTATCGGACAGCCAAGCTGCCTTAAAAGCCTCGAGCGCTTTCAAATGCACGTCAAAACTAGTCTGGGAGTGTAAACAGACCCTAAAAACACTAGCGACACATAACCAGGTAACGCTGATGTGGCTGCCTGGTCATCGAGGCATAGAAGGAAACGAAGAGGCAGATGGCCTCGCAAAGGAAGGGGCATACCATGGACCAGAGCCTTACTGTGGCTTAATGAAAAGCCACATCATGGCAAAACTCAACAAATGGGAGAAAGACCAACTGTCATCATATTGGAGGCACACACCGGGACTCAGACAGTCAAAAAGGTTTATTACCCTTTCAGCAAAAAGATCTGAACAGCTTCTAAGCATGAGCAGACCAGACATCAGATTGGTGGTGGGACTGCTCACAGGACACTGCCCAGTAAAATACCATTTAAGGTTAATGGACAGAGCAGAAGACGATCTCTGCAGATTCTGCTCAGACGCAATAGAAACCGCAGAGCACCTGCTCTGCCAATGTCCAGCCCAATTCTGCAAGAGGCTCAAATTCCTCGAGGGGGCAACACTGTCACCAGAAGAAGTGGGCCAACTGACACCCAGGAAAATAGCTTCCATCGGCAGAAGTCTACGCTTCCTGGAGACAAATTAAGATGTAGAGTCACGCACAAAATATCTGCAAAGGTAGCAGTGCTGAGCGGCTGAAGAGCCGAAACGACTCCCCCGAAATCTACAATCTACAATCTACAATCTACAGTCGAATTTTGGTAGTGGTAGTATCATGGCAAATTAATCGAAGATTGTGTGTGCTCTAGAAGCGGAGGGTTTATTAGGAAAGCTGGTGGATTCATCCTTTCAATTTGGAACGAGAGTAAAAGGTTTGCAAAGTTCTACGACAAAATTAGAATGTAAGATTGTGTATACGTTCTAATTTTTCTCCTTTAATGCTTGTTTACCGTAGAAGCACTCAATGAATAGATTCACGTCAAACATGATGAAATTCAATCAAACAACAAACCACGAACTCAAAAATTTCTTTAGAATTCTAGAACCGCTGCGCTAGAACCGTCAGGTGTGACTACAAAGATACAACTGAACGTGTTTTCGTTCTATTGCGGTCGTCCGGTCGTGCGGTGCCGCCGCAGCATGATGCGGTTGCATCCGGTTTGGGTGCGGTACAAGGCTATGTGTGACAGCTCCCATTTGATACAATGGGTTCACACCATCCCGGCAAACCGGAGCGTTCTTGCCGCAGCGGTGAAAACGCTAAGTGTGACACCACACTAACTGAGATATCGTCCCATCCAGAAGATTTTCTATTTTTGATACTCAGTTTCTGAGCAATCGTACAGTAGTATGAATTAATATTATCTGCTTTCAAATTGGAAGCACATATCTATATTTCTTTTTTTTTTTTCGCGTAGGTCGTTACTCTTTTTGTTTATTGGATGCGGATGCCCAACCTCTCGTTGTAATAAATCTTCCTTGCCAGTTTCATCATCTTTCTGTAGATGCTCCTGTATCCATTATTTAAAGTAGGTAGCACAACACTGGACGGTGAAGTTGCAACAAATAAATATTTTCACATTTTAAGGGTAGTTCCTGGGTGTCCAAGTGAAATGTAGGTAGAGCAATCTTGCCCAAACAATAGGGATTCCGTAATTGGGTAGAAATGGCCAAAAATTGAGACGCACACAATAGAAAATGAGTATTTGATTATGATCAATAATGACATAACCTAATGACGTTATGGTTTGTGTTTGTGTCAAATGTTTGTGTGCCTCTTGTCGGCCATATTTGTGTCACGTGTTTTGGATAGTCTAATAGGAAAGCTATAGTACGGCCGCATATACTAACTGCAAGGGCGATCAAAACCCGAAAAAAAGGTTTTATAACCTAACCTTCATACGATACTTTGAACATTTCTATGAAAAATAAGGTAATGACATTGCTTCATGTATCTTACCACTACCGCACCAGCCACCACTGATCTGTTGAAAAAGTTAATAAATTGAGAAAGGTGCAGTTTCGTAGTGGAGAACGACCAATATCCATGTGTCCACCGTCACAATACAGTCTAATGGAAGACTACAGAAGAGCTGCGTATCAAGCCGGTCAAATATGGGGTCGATCGCTGTCACCCGGTGAATCTGTTCCACCACCTGGAGGATGGGGTTTGAATTTAACCAACAATCGTTGGGAGCCAGCTAGCACAAATTTGGTGAGCTCTTAGAGTACTAGAGAAGTGTGGATGAAAAAGTCAAAGTGAGACCAACAGATGTTCGTGTCAGAAAGCAGACCTGTACACCCGCATGTACTAACTGCAATGGCGAATGTCAAAACCAACGATCCCTATAGTTTGCAGTATCTGTTGAAGCGGCTGGTGAGGTAGTGCCACGGTGCCACGGAGCCATGGCAATACCTTATTTTTCTGAAAAAAAAAAAAAGATTTGTATCCTTCATATGATACTTTGAAACATTTCTGTGAAAAATAAGGTAATCACATGGCTTCATGTACCTTAGTACTACCGCATCAGCCAGCGCTGATCTATCATAAAAGAAACTTTTCGTCTTTGATAAGATATTTTAATTTTTATGTTATGCTAAGCAATCATTTTTGATTTTTAACCCCCTTCTTTTGGCGGTTTCAAACATGTTATATTAAAATTATTTTAAAATTGAATTAAACTGTACTTTTCAAGGTTACTGAAGGTCATATCGTTTTTAAAATATTTTTTTTGAATTCCTTGACCTCAAATTATATAATAAAATGTATAATCATGCCCAAGTGAATTAATTTTGAAATTGAGGAAATTCCCGTCCGCCATTTTGAAAAAAAAATGCGAGATTGGGAGTCTTGAGGGTCGTAGAGCCTGGCTAGTCGGGTCAGATCTCTTATAATGAG